AGCACTTTGGGAGGCTGAGGCGGGTGGATCACGAGGTCAAGAGATCGAAATCATCCTGGCCAAAATGGTGAAACCCCATTGCTATTAAAAATACAAAAATTAGGTGGCGTGCACCTATAATAGCTGCTTGGGAGGCTGAGGCAGGAGAATCGCTTGAACCCGGGAGGTGGAGGTTGCAGTAAGCCGAGATTGCATGATTTTACTGCAGCCTGGGCAACAGAGCCAGACTCCATCTCAAAAAAATAAAAAAAAAAAATAAATAATAAATTTTTGTTGTTTTAAGTCACTGCCTTTTGGAGCCATTTGTTCTGCAGGGAAAGAACTGAAATCACTACCTTTCCACTATACTAATAAAGGGTTTCCACCACAGTAGTACATAATGCAGACTCCTGCTGCTGGCTTGTGGATGGAAAAGGTCTGAAACTGTCTTTCCACCAGGCCATGCAAGGATCACTGGCAAAAGCCGCTGCTAATGAGAGTGTATCATCTCTCTTAGGTGTGAACCACAGGCAGGAACAGATGTGCCATCGAAATTTTTCCAACTGAGTTGCCGTTTTCCAGTATGCATATTTTTCTGTGCCACAAATCCAAAAGACATTTTGGTAACAATTAAACAGCCTATAAGAGGACATTCAGCACTTTGGGAGGCTGAGGCAGGCAGATCACTTGAGGTGAGGAGTTCGAGACCAACCTGGCCAATATGAAGAAACCCTGTTTCTACTAAAAATACAATAATTAGCCAGGCATGGTCACGGTCGCCTGTAGTCCCAGCTACTTGGGAGCCTGAGGCAGGAGAATCACTTGAACCTGGTAAGTGGAGGTTGCAGTGAACCGAGATTATGCCACTGCACTCCAGCCTGGGCGAGAGTGAGACTCTGAAAAAAAAAAAAAAGACGACGACACTCAGACTTACAACTGGCTTTTGCTTTATTGTGTAATTTACACAGGACAACCCTGAACTCCACACTTGGTTTTTCTCTTCTGCCTTCATTATTCTTTCAGTATCTATGTTGACAGAGATCGTTTCTCCCAACAGCATATGTGGTTTGATCCTCAACCAAGACGCATAGGCCCTACAAGATCCCAGCCCTCCAACACGAACACCTGGGCCCTCCCATTTGACTGCAGCCTTGCCTGTTTGTACTGGGGCTCTGCCCTGGTCCTGTCACCCCTGAGGCGTCCGTACGGCAGGAATGCCAAACAGGATCCATGTGATTTACTCTGAGTAAATATAAGAGGCTGCTAGCAGCCCCCAGCTGAGGATTGAGAGGCAGGCTGTGTCTGGGTTTCATTTCAGAGAACGCTGTGATGCATTAGCAACGTCTGCTATGGAAACACCCATTAGAAGTACCTGGAAGGAGGGTTTTGGGGAACGGACTCAGAAAGGAACAAGGTGTGTCTGTTCCATTCTTGCCTTAGGTGGCTGTTCTGCTGCCCAGGCTGCACTGTCTCAGTGGCTAGGTGGCTGAGGAGGAAGTCTGAAGGCCACAGAGTCGCAAGTGACTTCCCTGGGGCCTGCGGGGGACAGCATAGGCCCGAAGCTAGAGGAAGCTTGGAAGGGTGCCCACGCTGGGTCCTGCGGGGCTCTGCACACTGCAGGCCACCATGGCGCTAGCTCCTTATCCTCTGGAGTCTGTCTCATCCAGGAGAAGACAGCTGGCTGGCCTCACAGCGTTAGATGCAACTCAGGGGTGAAAACATTTTTACATGGCACGGACACACAATGGGCTTTACCTCTGGATAAACTTAGAAACTTTCCATCCAAACGAAAAGGGTGTATCTTCTGTACGTTGCCAAGAAGCCTCAACTGAGTACAAGGACAATCTTACTTTAATCAAGTTCCAGAATGAGGGCACACAGCTTCGAAAAGCAGTCTGTAGCAGAAGATGCAAGGGTGTGTGTAAAGCCATGTTTCTAGAATATACCAAAGGAAACACACCCAACCCCAGGGTGGTCTTTTGCGAATCCTCGATGCTGCTCTATACCGGGACAGGTGGCTACTTCGTCCAGCTGACTTTGGGAATATCATAATGCTCCGTGAGTGTGTCCAGGTGTCTGTTGAAGTCCTGGGAAGGTGGAGTAGAAGGCTGGTGTCAGCGCAGACCCAAGTTGGGTGCTGGGGGAAATGGCACTGCCAAGCCCCACCTCTCCCACATCCTCTCTCTCCTGAGCCTCGTCGTCTCAAACTCACCCTGCCAGGTTTTACAGACTCCTGAACCCTGGGCTCCCCTTTGAAGAACCCTGGGGAAGTGTCACTTCTGTTAGGTAAACTTCCCTTCTCGTCAACATGCCAATGGCTCCCTCTGCCAGGCTGTTAGCCTCTGGGCCCAGCTGGGACCCTGAATGGCTCAGTCTCCCCGACTGGACACGGCAACTCACCTCCACTCTCTGCTTGTGGGTTTTGGATGCTTTCTTTAGGATCCTTTCCATTTGCTGGAGACAAAAAAGACACGGAGGTGAGTTTACAGGCTCAACACAGCCCCGGCCGACATGGGATGGAAGATGGAGCCCCAGCCAGCCTGGCTCCCACGTTTAGAACAGCTGGAGGTTTCAGGCTGTGTGTCTTGTCCCCCTCCCTCAACTCCAACCAGGCTGGTCCAACAGGGAACCCGGGTCAGTTGCCAGCTTCGTGAGTGGCAGGAAATGAACCAGCAATGCCTGAGCGTGTACCCATGAGCAGCCTCTGCTGGGAGCTGTTGGCATGATTCCTGCATCCCGAGGTGGCTGTTAGCACTGCCAGTTTGGAGGAGAACAAAGTCCTAGAGCGGGTTTGAGGAATGATGAGAAAGAGAGAGGTAAAGGGCCCGACACAGAGCAGGTACTCAAGTGACACTTCCCATCCTGATGTTAGGGCTACAAGACTAGGATCACCGTCCCTAGGGTTATTCTCAAATATGCCTCCTGCACCATGACCTGCTCTGATCCTCACTTCAAACACTCAATGACAGCTGCAAACGTCAGTATTTTGTAGCAGCTTGGAGTGTGGGCTGGGCGCAGTGGCTCATGCCTGTAATCCCAGCACTTTGGGAGGCTAAGGAAGGAGGACCGCTTGAGCTTAGGAGTTTAAGACTAGCCTGGGCAACATAAGGAGACCCCAACTCTACAAAAAATCAGCTGATTGTGGTGGTACGCGCCTATGGCCCCAGCTACTCGAAAGGCTGGGGTGAGAGGATTGCTTGACCCAGGAGGTTGAGGCTGCAGTGAGCTATGATCACACCAATGCACTCCAGCCTGGGCGACAGAGTGAGAGAGACCCTGTCCAAAAAAAAAAAAGAGTTGGGAGTGTGGGATATAAAGCCAGACAGATCTGAGGCCACACCTGGCTCTAGGCTTCTGGCTGGGTGCCTGTGGCCCACTCTCTGGTGGCCCCTATGAACCGTGCTGCCTATGATTCATCCCTCGTGCAGTCCCTGTGCCACGCTGACTCTGACCTGGCCGTGGACTCAGTTAACTCAAAGGAACGCAGTACCAGTTCTGGGTCCATGCATAAGACCTGGCAGCGTTAGCTTTGTGCCCTTGGAAGCCAGTTGCTGTGTAGGAAGTCTGATGGCCCTGCTGGAAAGAAAGGACCTGGAGGATGAGATGACATGAAGGAAGAGGCCACGAAACAAGCACTGACAGGTGGGGCATAGCAGCTCACGTCTGTAATGCCAGCACTTTGGGAGGCCGAGGCGGGAGGATCACTTGAGGTCAGGAGTTCTAGACCATCCTGGCCAACATGGTGAAACCCCGTCTCTACTAAAATACAAAAATTAGCTGGGTTTGGTGGTGCGTCCCTGTAGTCCTGGCTACTTGGGAGGCTGAGTCAGGAGAATAGCTTGAACCTGGGATGTGGAGGTTGCAGTGAGCTGAGATAGTGCCATTGCACTCTAGCCTGGAGCCTGGGCGACAGAACGAGACTCTTTCTCAAAAAAAAAAAAAAAAAAAAAAAAGCACTGAGGCACCAGCTATATGGCGGCAAAGCCATCTTAGATGCTCCAGCCCAGATGCACCTTCAGAGACTCCAGGCCCAGCTGCCATCTGACTGCACCAGACTCCAAGTGAGGTCAGACCCTGCTGAGCCCAGTCAACCCAGAGCATCATGAGGTATTATTGGTAAGGGCCACCTGGCTGCTCCTCTCTGTCCCCCGTCTTCTCCTTCATTCCCTCCTCACCTCCTTCTGTGTCCACTCAGCCCTCACCTGGCTGATTCTCCCTCTAAGGCAAGCACCCTGCTCATCTCTGTCCCTCTACCTGCTGCTGCGAGCCCAGCCGAAGCCTGTGTCTCCTCGTGAGAAGCCACACTGACTTGTCCAGCTGCCACACAATGCCAGGCACCTGGCTGGACTCTGCCCACAGGCGTGACATCCAGCTAGTATTTTAGTTTTTGCAGATACAGGGTATCGCTATGTTGCCCAGGCTAGTCTCGAACTCCTGGGCTCAAGTGACCGTCCCACATCGGCCTCCCAAAATGTTGGGATTACAGGCATGAGCCACCGCGCCTGGCTGACTCCACTTGGATTTCTACTGGGGCACTGCATTTACCTTCTTTAAAACTATAGCTTTGGTTTCCCCTCCCTCGACTCCCACTCCAGAAAACGTGCTTTATCTGCAATCCTTCCCACCCCAGTCAACAGCACCTTCATTCATCAAACTGCCCAGCCCAAAGTCTTGGTCATCCTTGACTCTTCTTTCTTTCCCAGCTTACGGGTTACCCAGGTTAGCCCAACGGCTAACACTGAATTCATCCTTGAAAACCTATTCCAAACCTGTTACCTTCCACTGACTCCATCACGACTGCTCTACTCTGAACTCCCATTATTAGTCTCTTGATAGCTGCATCAGTCTCTCATTCTGGCTCCAGCAATAAAATCTCAGCCCTGCCTCTGACTACAGCCTCAGGGTTAGAAGCGACAGAAATGCATTCACTTGGTCAGGCATGGTGGCTCACGCCTGCAATCCCAGCACTTTGGGAGGCCGAGGCCGGCGAATCACTTGAGGTCAGGAGAGCGAGACCAGCCTGGCCAACATGGTGAAGCTCCATCTCTACTAAAAATACAAAAATTAGCTGGGCATGGTGGCGGGCACCTGTAGTCCCAGCTACTTAGGAGGCTAAGGCAGGAGAATCGCTTGAACTCAGGAGGCAGAGACTGCAGTGAGCCGAGATCACACCTCTGTACTCCAGCCTGGGCAACAGAGCAAGGCTTTGTTTCAAAAAATTTAAAAAAGCCCGGGCATGGTGGCTCACGCCTGTAATCCCAGCACTTTGGGAGGCCGAGGCAGGCGGATCACCTGAGGTCAGGGGTTCAAAAACAGCCTGGCTAACATGGTGAAACCCTGTCTCTACTAAAAACACAAAAAAATTAGCCGGGCGTGGTGGCAGGCGCCTGTAATCCCAGCTGAGGCAGGAAAGCTTGAACCCAGGAGGCAGAGGTTTCAGTGAGCCGAGATCAAGCCACTGCATTCCAGCCTGGGTGACAGAGCCAGACTCAGTCTCGCTGAGATGGAGTCTCACTCTGTTGCCAGCCTGGAGTGCAGTGACGTGATCTCAGCTCACTGCAACCTCTGCCTCTCAGGTACTGGTTCAAGCAATTCTTCTGCCTCAGCCTCCTCCCAAGTAGCTGGGATTACAGGCGTGTGCCACCACATCCGGCTAATTTTTGTATTTTCAGTAGAGACAGGGTTTCACCATGTTGGCCAGGCTGGTCTTGAACTCCTGACTTCGTGATTCGCCCACCTGACTTGTTAAATCCTTACCACAACCCTGTGAGGTAGACTTTACTGCTACTTTAACTAAACGGTAACTGGCTTGCCCAGAGTTACACCACTAATTCGTGGTAGAGGCAGAGTCAAACTCAGGTCTGTCTGGCCAGAGGTAGTGCACCCATGTGTTTTCTGTATGCCTGAATTAGACCTGGGATTAAGGAGTTAATTGTCCCAGTGTCCCCAATGTCCATTTTCCCCAGTGTCACCGTACAGAATCACCTAGACCAGGGTTAGGGTTTCTCAGCCTCAGTGCTACTGATATTTGGAGCCAGATCATTCTTTGCTTCAGCGGGTTATCCTGTGTATTACAGGGTGTGAAGGATCATCCCTGGCCTCTAGCCACTGTTGCCAGTAGTCCCCACCCCAACTCAGTTGAGAACCAAAAATGTCTCCAGACATTGCCACATGTGCTTAGCGGTGGGGGTTTGTGGGGTGGAGACTACTCCCAGTTGAGAATCACTGACCTGCACTGATTATTCTGTCTCCCTAGCATAATGGACCCAGTTTATCTATCTTACTATGAACTCTTCTGTTCTCCACTGCACACATTGTGTTTAATATCAAGAAGCAATCATTTATTGGAGCCTTAAATACAATACAAACAAAGTCGTCATGGCCATGGCCATTCAACATCAACAGCTGAGACTGGGTGCGGTGGCTCACGCCCGTAATCCCAGCACTTTGGGAGGCTGAGGCGGGCGGATCACTTGAGATCATAAGTTCGAGATCAGCCTGGCCAACATGGTGAAACCGCGACTCTACTAAAAATACCAAAATTAGCCGAGTGTGGTGGTGGGCGCCTGCAATCCCAGCTACTCGGGAGGCTGAGGCAGGAGAATTGCTTGAACCCGGGAGGCAGAGGCTGCAGTGCTCTGACTCCACCAAAAATAAATAAATAAAAAAATATAAACAACATGTTTGAATCTGCCCAAGTTGTCTTGGAAACAAACTTTGTGGTGACTTCGAGCGGTGAGCATGGCCATTTAATATCAAGAGCTGGCATCCACTGAGCATTTACGCACTGCCTTTTACTTTCACGACTTCCTCCCGAATTCCCAACCCTCTTAGAATAAATTACTACCCTGACTCCTACAGAGAAGTAAACTGAGGCACGGAAATAAGAAAGTCACTGGCCTAGTGTCGCAGGGCAAATGAGCCACAGCACTGGAATCCAAACTCGGGTCTCCAGCTCTGGTCTCCTTTCAACGCCAGTTCTAGCTCTCCCCTCTGCTGCCCACTAGGGCCAGCGGGGTCTCCTCATCCTTGGCGCTCCCCCGGCAGAGGGCGACTCTTCTCTCACTCACGCACAGCATCATCTTCTCGTAATTAAGGTCTCCTCTGACCGCTCCCCTGCTCTCCCAGCGCCCCAGCCCTGACCCCAATTTCGAGTCTCCCGGCGCCGGGTGTCCCCGCCCTCCTCGCCGCCTTCTGCTTTTGCTCACCCGCTTCTCCTGCATTTTCTCGAAGGCCGCCTGGGCCGGGGTCCGCTTGTCCAGGCCGCGCCGCTTCTCCTCCTCGTTCTTTTTGCTCGTTCCCATTGCTTCCAGGAGTTTCGCTTTGTCTTTGTCCTTCTTTTTCTTCTTCCTGGAAAAAGACACGAGGAGGGGGCGGGTCAGAGGGTCAGGACCAGGGGTCCAGATAAAAGGTCTAAGGGGAGTGAAGACGGAATCCCGCGGGCCCTCGGGCCTCACCGCTTGGTCACTCCCAGCTCTGCGACGCCTTTCAGCTTCAGGGGTCCCTTTTGGACCTGCTCGTAGGCCTCCATAACACTCTCCGGTGGTTCGGCAGATATACTGCCACACTTCCTGTTTGCAAACACTATTTCCTCCTGAATGCCCGCCTCACTTCTCTTTGATTGGCTGAGCTACAAGGTGAGCATGCGCTCTTAGTTCTGGAGCTGGGCCACACTTCCGGATAGTGGGCGGGACAGAGAGCCAAGGGAGGGAGTGCCCTTCGCATCCTGTCTGCTGCCACACTTCCGTAATTGGCGCCCACTTCCGGTCTTCAGTTCTTCGGACAGGGTGATGGAAACCCATCCCCTTTTTGAGGGTTTTGCACATGTTTGGGTGACCTATTCTCTTTCCTTGATTTTTTTTTTTTCTTTTTTAGAGACATGGTCTTGGTCTGTTGCCTAGGCTGGAGTGGAGTGGCGCGATCGTAGCTTACTGCAGCCTTGAACTCCTGGGCTCAAGAGATCCTCCCACCTCAGCCTCCTCAGTAGCTGGTACTACAGACGGGCGCCACTGAGCGCGGCTAATATTTTCATTTAATTTTTTTTTTGTCGAGATGGGATCTCGCTATGTTGTCCAGGCTGGGCTCGAACTTCTGGGTTCAAGCGATCCTCCGGCTTCAGCCTTCCACACAGGCCTGAGCCACGAGCGCCGCCCCCGTTCTCTTTTATTGCCATATTCTGAGCGTTCAATGGATAGCTGGGCCTAATTTTGTAAACCTAATCAGTATCCATTAATTTTTCAGTTTTAGGTAAATGACAATATTATGTGACAAGTTTGGTGGTGCGTTAAAACAATTAAAAATCTATTTTATGCCAGGCACAGTGGCTCACACTTGTAGTCTCAGCACTTTGTGAGGCCGAGGTGGGCGGATCACGAGGTCAGGAGATCGAGACCATTCTGGCTAACAGCGTGAAACCCCGTCTCTATTAAAAATACAAAAAATTGGCTGGGTGTGGTGGCATGCACCTGTAGTCCCAGCTACTTGGGAGGCTGAGGCAGGAGAATCGCTTGAACCCGGGAGGCGGAGGTTGCAGTGAGCTGAAATCACACCACTGCACTCCAGCCTGGCCAATAGACTCCATCTCAAAAACAAAACAACAACAAAACAAACACAAATGTATATATATTTAAATCAGCACTTTGGGAGACCAAGGTGGGCTGTTCACATGAGGTCAGGAGTTTGAGACCAGCTTGGCCAACATGGCGAAATCCTGTCTCTACTAAAAAAACAAAAACAAACAAAAACCCAAAATTAGCTAGGCATGGTAACATGGGCCTGTAGTTCCAGCTACTTGGTAGGCTGAGGCAGGAGAATCACTTGAACCCAGGAGGCAGAGGTTGCAGTGAGCCAGAATCTCACCACTGCACTCCAGCCTGGTCAACAAAGACTCCATTTCAGAAAACAAAAAACAAAACAAACGAAAAAACCCACAAAACAACAAATCAATAGAGAATAGGGTATTGCTGTGTTGTCCAGGTTGGTCTCAAACTCCTGTCCTCAAGCAGTCCTCCTGAAGCACTAGAATTACAGGTGTGAGCCACCACCCCTGGCCCTTTCTTTCTTTTCATCCTTTCAGCATTGTGCAGTTTTCTTACATAGGATGTGTACATGCCTATATCTTTTTGTTTGTTTGTTTGTTTTTTGAGACAGAGTCTCGCTCTGTTGCCCAGGCTGGAATGCAGTGGCACGATTTCGGCTCACTGCAACTTCCACCTCCCAGGTTCAAGAGATTCTCCTGCTTCAGCCTCCTGAGTAGTTGGGATTACAGGCGCCCACCACCATGCCCCGCTAATTTTTGTATTTTTAGTAGAGACGGGGTTTTGCCATGTTATCCAGGCTGGTTTCGAACTGCTGACCTCAGGTGATCCCCCTGCCTCAGCCTCCTAAAGTGCTGGGATTACAGGCGTGAGCCGCCGCTCCCGACCCTTGCATATATCTTTTTAATGTCAGCAGAGGACTATGGGAATTTTTGGTTTCTTCTCTATTTCCCTCTGTATCAAAAACCTAGTTAAAAAAAAAAACAAAACTGTTATGAGAAAAATTTAAAAAGACTGTGCCTACCAAGTGTCTGTGAAGATGTGTTGAAACTGGAACTCAAACGTGCTGCTGTTGTGAATGTTAAAAGGCATAAACAGTTTAGAAATCAGTCTGACAGTTCTTTAAAAGATTAAGTATTCACTTATACTATGACAAAAGAATTAGATTCCTAGGTTTTAACCCAAATGAAATGAAAATATAGACCTATATACACTTGTGTACATGAATGTTCACTGAAGATTTATTTGTAATAGCCAACAAATTAGAAACAGCCCTAATACTGCCCTAGATAAATGAACACAATCCATGCCCACAAATCTTGGCTGACTTTTGCAACCAATGGAATTGCTAGGTCCAAGGTTATGCACATTTGCACGTTTTATTTCTCATAGATTTTGTCCAAATTGTGCCAGGGTAGTGTTTTGGTTTTGTTTTGTTTTGTTTTTGTTTGTTTGTTTTGTTTTAACTGGGGGCGGGGAGGGGGAAGAGGCGAACGAGGTGGAGAAGAAAGAAGCAAACGTCCCCAAATCTACCGAATACAAGAAAAAGGAGGGCACAGGGGCTGCCTTTCTCAGTCCTACCTGCAGAGGGCAGCAATCCACTGCCTAATTCTCCGTCCACAACTGGAAACGACTGTGCAGAGGGGCTTCTGGTACCAGCGGATGGGGGCTGCCAGCACTTTTGTGTCAAAAGAAAGGCGATCTTTTGGCCGGGCGCGGTGGCTCACACCTCCTATCCCAGCACTTTGGGAGGCTGAGGCGGGCGGATCACGAGGTCAGGAGATCGAGACCATCCTGGCCAACACGGTGAAATTCTGTCTCAACTAAAAATTTAAAAATTAGCTGGGCGTGGTGGGGCGAGCCTGTAGTCCCAGCTACTCAGGAGGCTGAGGCGGAGTGTCACTTGAACCCGGGAGGCGGAGGTTGCAGTGAGTGGAGATTGTGCCTCTGCACTCCGGCCTGGCGACAGAGTAAGATTCCGTCTCAAAAAAAAAAGAAAAAAGAAAAGAAAAGAAAGAAAGAAAGAAAAAGAAAAGAAATTAGCCGGATGTGGTGGGGCACACTTGTGGTCTCAGCTCCTCAGGAGGCTAAGGCAGGAGGATCACTTGAGCCTGGGTGTGGGTGTTCGAGGCTGCAGTGATCTAGGATCCTGATTGATGCACTCTAGCTTGGGCAATTAGAGCAAGACCCTATCTCAAAAAAAAAGGAAAATAAAATGATTATGTTGAGTCTTGAATACAAATTAAAAAAACAACTACAAAGAAAGAAAAAGAAATAGTAATGTGCCAATGTTAAATTCCTAGCAGTGCTAAATGTGCTGTGGTTATGTAAGATGTTAACATTAGAGCCAGGCTCAGTGGCTCACACCTGTAATCCCAGCACTTTGGGAGGCCGAGGCAGGTGGATCATCTGAAGTCAGGAGTTCGAGACTAGCCTGGCCAACATGGTAAAACTGCGTCTCTACTGAAAATGCAGAAATTAGCTGGGTGTGGTGGTGCACACCTGTAGCCCCAGCTACTGGGGAGGCTGAGGCAGGAGAATCGCTTGAACCCAGGAGGCAGAGGTTACAGTGAGCTGAGATTTTGCCATTTGCCATTTCACTCCAGCGTGGGTGACACAGTGAGACTCCATCTCCAAAGACAAACAAACAAACAAACAAACCAAACAACAACAAAAAAACCATTGGAAAGCAGGTCTGTATGGGAGGGTTATGGGATTATGGGAGCTGTCTGTATCATCCTTGCAATTTAATTTAATTTAATTTAATTTAATTTAATTTAATTTATTGAGACAGAGACTCACTCTGTCACCCAGGCTGGAGTGCAGTGGCGCAATCTTGGCTCACTGCAACCTCCACCTTCCAGGTTCAAGCAATTCTCCTGCCTCAGCCTCTCCAGTAGCTGGGATTACAGGTGTGTGCCACCACACACGACTAATTTTTTTTTTTTTGAGATGGAGTCTTGCTCTGTCATCCAGGCTGGAGTGCAGTGGCCTGATCTCGACTCACTACAACCTCTGCTTCCCAGGTTCAAGCGATTCTCCTGCCTCAGCCTCCTGAGTAGCTGGGACTACAGGCAGATGCCACCACGCCTGGCTAATTGTTTGTATTTTTAGTAGAAACAGAGTTTCTCCATGTTGACCAGGCTGGTCTCGAACTCCTGACCTCAAGCGATCTGCCCACCTTCGCCTCCCAAAGTGCCTGGA